AGTTTTTTACTTTTATTCTTAAAGCATTCAGTTTTGCTTTCAACTTTATGTACTTTAGTTCTCAGTTAGATCTTCAGATGTGTACAGATAGCTCATATTTATGTATTGCACATAATCATGCTATTCAGCATCGATGCTATATTGTATTATGTAAATAATAAAAGCCATGTACAGAGGGAAACTTCCACTTGTTCATTGGGTTTTTAAGTCATAGCTAGAAGCCTAAAGGTAGAAACTTAGAAAATGTTTCATTTGACCTTTTATTTGTATACATAGATTTTGCATGGTTGTAATTTGTTTTTGTTTTTGTTTTTTTCTTGCCCCATTTCCATTCCTGAACATGACTTATTCAAGTAAGGATCATGAGGTGAGTTTTGTGAAAGAAACATTTTCAAGTATGGTGTACATGTTAATCAAATTTTTTTGTCTTTTGAAGAAATTAACAGGCACGTTTAGGATCAGAACAATCTTAAATTTTTAAGGGGAGAAGGGAATGAAATTTGCAATTAGGGCTTTTCCTTATTAATGACAAATGGTAAATCTGAAGAGGTAAAGTAGGCATTGTTATTTTGTTTTCTTTTCGTCCTAATGCAGAGTTTACCAAAGGGCTTGGTCTTTCCATGGACTAGCTTGACGTGAACAGACTGGTAGCTTCTCAATGATAGTGTGTAGGATGGAAATACTACCCCAGGTTTACTTGTGTGTCACTGTACTTTGCAGGCTACTTTTGTTGATTCAAAGGGGAAAGACTCATGTGTAGATAACCCATATCATGAGATAAAAGTACTTCTCCCTGAGGGTATTGAGTGACATGTTAAAACCTATATTCAAGTTTAAAATGGGGTTATTTCTCCCCTCAGTACTATGTCAACAAAAATTTGCTTGATAAAATTTCAATCTTAAGGTTTTGAAACCAAAGAGTAATAAGAAATGAGAACTAGATTGAACAGGATTAGTTTATGCCGGGACCATCATTGTTTGGTGAATAAGTCTAAGGAAGCTAAGACACTTTCAAACCTTAATGTATTTCTCATTCTAGACTTGATTTTACTAAGAAATACTAAGTATTTAAAGAATGTGTTTCCTTAAAGCACTGTATTTTTTCTAAAGAAGTGTGTGTATTCCCTAGAATCAGGCTCTCATATTAGACAAGCTACTTGAACCTCTGCATTGGACTTCACCTGTCCCTACTACTTATGTAACCACTTCAGAGTTGGGAGGATAAAGCATTTAATCTATTCCTGACTTAACAGTCGCCATTCATTTTGATGTCCTGGAGAAATGCTTTCCAGCTCTTGGAAAGAGTTTGAAATCAAGTGGTTAAGTTACACTGCAGAAAGAAAGATCTATAGCTTTCACTTTACATTTTTTGTTGTTAATGTCAAGTTGGTTCCTTTTAAGTGATCCTAATCAATTTTTTATAAGGCTTGATTTGCAAATACCTAAAAGTGGGCAATGTGTTGTAAATGATATTTTTTGCTTCATATTCACATGATTTAAAAGTGAGTTAACATGTTGAGAGTCCTACTCCCAGTCCACTCCAAAACGACATATATTATTGGTCACTCATGGTTTTATCTCCACATGCGAATGTCTAAAATTTGTAAATGACCTAATTTGATGGTTTTTAATTCATAGCTTAAGTTTTCTATAAATTATAGTTTATAATTTTGGAGATCAATGAATGTTTATTAGCAGTGTTGTAATAAGCTATTAAAGAGATGGGGACACAGAAGACAGTTAACAAAAGAAGGCAGTTCTCATACTTTACAATCTGCCCTGAAAACAGATCTACATGTATGACATATTAGAAAAATGCCTCTTAATACTTGGCACTTATGTACACCACTGGATGTTACATACATACATACAAAAGCAATTTTTGTCCCCCTGCTAGTCCAGTTGTGTTGAGGTTTAATGCACTGGACTGCAAAGTCAATTTGAACCTCAAGTTGGTGGTTCAAGCTCACCAGCCACTCAAAAACCCTATATAGGGTTGCTGTGAGTTGGAACTGACTTACCACGGACTTAACTAGTTCAGGTGTGGAGCTCTAGTTATAAGCATTGAACCCTCCAGCTGCTTCTTAGAAACTATACAGTGTTAGGATTCAGAATTTACTAGATAGCACTTAACAAATCTCCCAGAATGTATTTCTGTTCTAAAAATAAAACTTAGTACCATTTTGTTATATAGAATAAGTCTTATTTGCAATTGCTAAGTGCTTACTTACGTTTTAGCAAGAGGACTGAGAATGCTAAATCATAGTTAACATTTGATGATAACAGCTAGATGAACTTGTAGTTGGTTAACATCCTTTATATTTTTTCTGATAATTTTTTAAGTTAATCACTGTAGAGTCTCAGCTGAAATTTGAGTTAACCCATTCACAAAAGTGTTTTAGAGCTCAAATAACAGCCAGAAAAATAGTTGTAAAATAGTCTGAGCTCAACTTGAGCACAGTTGTCCTGGAGTATTTATTAGCCCAATCCTGTCTGTGTTTGTATTCCATAGCCAAGTAAAACATTAGTTGACCATTGCTATGCCATGTCATCCCTCCGCATCATTAAGAATGTGATTGAATGTTTACTGTAATTGAGAATCCTGTTATAATTTAGATTTTTAATTTTGTTTTTCTTTGGCACTGGACAGCTTCAAACCCACCAGCTGCTCATCAGAAACCTTACTTTACAGGGTCACTATGAGTCAGAATCAGTTTGACGGCACTTAACATTTACTCTAGGAACACCAGTGGCACAATCATTAAAGTGCTCAACTATTAACCAAATAGCATTTTGGACATACCAGACGCTTGGAGGGAGAAAGATAAAGAGTTCCGTTAGGATTTACAACCTTGTAAATCTGTGTGCCAGTCAGTCCTCTGTCCCAAAGGGTTTCTATGAGTCAAAATTATCTAGACAGCAGTGGACTTTGGAGGGACTGATATCTACTCATAGAAATTAAATAATTGATAGTAAATATATCATTGAAAGTATTTCTTTAATGAAGATTCACTCACACTAGTGTTTTGGCTTCGTGTCCAGAGAAAAGTTCCCTTACTGAGATGTTTCTAGTTGTTACTGAAGTGGTGTTTCTAGAGGCACTCCACCTGTCCACCTGTTATAAAAGTTGTCTAGGATGAAAACTTAGGAATATTTGAATACAAGTACTCTATCTCCCCACCCATTAGCCTTTGACATCTGTGTTATATTTATATAATCTGCTAAAATTATATATGTACAAACAAGTTTATTTCCTCAACATACTGCTTCTTTGGAGTCCTGGTATGGTACTATATGAGAAAGCACTGAACTGCAAGGTTAGTTTGAACCACAAGGATGGTGGTTGAAGCTCACCAGTCACTCCTTGGGAAACCCTATACAGGGTCACTATGAGTTGGAGACAATTCGATAACCCTTAACAACATCACTGTGGGGTAATGTGCTGCACTGCAGCAACATACTGCTTATATATTTGGTCTGCATGGAAATTAGATTATTTTACATCTGGAGAAGGGGTTTTATCAATGGGGTAGATTATATCAGAAGAGTAAAATGAGACTTTAAGTGGTTAAATGAATAGAATAGTGATGCTTGTTAGAAGCAAGTATATACAACCTGTTAAGTGCTATGGAGTTGGTTCCAACTCATAGTGACCCTGTGTAGGAGGTTTCCAAGGAGCAG